CAGCTCGTTGTGTAAAATATCTTTAGTTGGAATATCTCTCGGATGAAATATAAGAATTGTAAAAATTAATTTTTGATATGGACGCAAAAATTTGTTTCATTTCATTGTTGCACGATAACTCAATTAACTTCATTTGCAGATTTTCAGGGACACTGTTCACGTCAACATGAAATGGGCGTGAAAATATTTCAAACACTTTATCATATTTTGCTAATTCTGAGAAATTAATTATAACAATGACACATGCAAGTTCTCATTTATTTTATACTTTTTGTCTATAACGAGAAACAAAGTTCCAATAGAAATATGAAATAGCCTAGCGGGCCGCATAATTTAATTGCCGCGAATTGGCCAGGCCTGTAACTATACTATACTTACTGACTGTTTTTTATAAAAAGATTTTCAAATTGAATAATTGCATGAGATTTTGTAACAAAAGAAAGAACGTGCTTCGTAATCACTGTAAATAATTACATAAAGTAACGGATGTGCGGATATAATTAATGCATACGTGCCACATAAGTGCACTTTAATGATTTTTATTTTTGATCAATGAAGATGTAATCACGTAAAATTGCAATTCACGTTTATCACTGATTCTAATACGTACATACTATGTGTATAAGTTATAATGGAAGCGAGACCTGCTTGATGATTCACGGTTTTCTTGGTGAATCACGAAATTTGTTTAATACATACAGTAAGTAGGATAGTTTTGATAGGTAGTCATAATAACATTATCAATGAAGTTTAATGCAGTATTTGACATTGACAGATATATTTACGATTATAATTTATGTATACGAATATTTATTTTATTATTGTAATTTAATTACCGAATAAAATCTTTTTTAAATTAATATATCAATTCTTCATTTCTGTCTACAATCTATATGTATGGTAATTCTCTTACTGTCAATGTACTTGCGATCTATGCATAAAACATTACGATTTCGTTGTGTGTAAAACATTCTGCACTAAAAAGCTGACTCAACAGGATACAGAGATCTCACGATTACGATTCTTAAATAATTTACTACGAACTTACAATTTAAGCAGGTAACACACCTGATAAAAGAGCATAAAAGGCAGAGGTTTCAGTTGTCTATACATATGAGTCAAACCTGTTGCCAGGCAACAGAAGAATCGATAAACAATGCGTTCAGACGCGATTGTCGCCGGTTCTTTTTAGTTCAACCAGTTCAACCGGAATCCCGAACAGGTCACATCTAATTTCAAACCAGTTCTTTAATAAGGCAATCGACAATATTCGATAGTAAAAAAAACATGTCGATTAAAGTGAGGAAGAAAAAAATAGCCGGCAATTATAAAGTTAAGGAACCTATAAATAATTTTAAAATAAGGTAACATGAATAATAAACATTTCATATAAGTTCATAGTAATGATTAAACTATAGTTTTTTATGTAAAATAAATCACTTGTAAATTCCTTCATCGTCATTTTCAATTATCTCAATTTTGAAAAAATATGACTCATACCGTTTGCTTCCTCTCGCAAACATTTGTTAAGAAAGTTATGGTTCTCGCGTTCGTCCGAAGTAGATATTAAGAGATGAAGTTCGATCGGCGAAACAACGGCACTGTTTGCAGGCGGCGAAAATCCGCGTCGATAGAATTAGATCTCGGGCATCTGGCAGAGATTATTTCCACCTTCTAAATTGTGTTTACCCGCCACGTGTTTATTGTTACAGAGTCCGAATCGTACAGCAAAGGCCTTTGCTTGCGGAGCTGCTCGAGAACGAAGGGGATAACGCCAGGGACACGAATTTCCTGGAGGAAGAAGACCGGATTTTCGGTTGGCAGCAAAAAGTATTTAGTCCGTTCGAGGTGAACTTTTACAGCGAGGAGGCCAATTGTTTGACTGAATCCCAGAAGCTGTATCACCGCCAGATCAAGGAGACCGATATCACCGGTTCTCTACTGTACACGTTCACACAGAATGATCCCTACTATTCGAAGAACGAATTGTTGACAAGGCCATACAGAACGAGATTGGGGAACAGGAACCAAACTGCGTTACCGGTTTTACAAAATCGCAAGCCCTTCTCCGAAAGGTACAAACAGGAATCTAACTGCGGGAATTTATGTGAGAAGGACTGAGAAAATAATTCTACTGAAAAGAGCAAGACTCGAGAAAATAATCCTATTGAAATATCAATATATGAAATTTTTAGTAGAGTAGAATCAAATAGAATGTTTCTTATCCTAAACGAAATTCAACTACTTTTGTTAATTACTGAAACTTGCTGCATAAAGTATTATTGATGAAACTTGTAACTCAAAGATTATACTAGTGGCTTCTACTAATACCTTATAGGAACTGCTTATCCAACCAAGTTTGGAATGTCGTTTTAATTTATCGTGCAGGTATAATAAAACTTAGATCCGATACTACTACAGCTTTACGTGGTTTTCGTGAAATGTCGGTTGTTTATATTTGATAAATTCTTTACTCAGACATGTTACATAAATTATTAATGATAAAAAATTATTATACAGCAGTTCCCTTTAATAGTAACTATATACCATATAGAAACTGCTTGCCCCAAGTTTGGAAAGTAGTTTTGATGTATCCGGCAGGTATAATAAAATGGTGGTTGACGATGCACCTGACGAGACGCGGATCCGTACAAACCATTACCTTTACGCGGATCATTCCACGATGTATGTCATGGTTGATTTATTACAACGAGATAAAATCTTGACGGGCTCCGACGGTGATAATGAAACGATGCTGTGTGTCATCACTTACGACGGGTTGCACAAAATTTTGTCGGTAAATCCAGACTTCACCGATGATCGTTGTTACGTTATCACAAATTCCAGCGGCGTTCAATTTAATTACTGGATTGAACATGCTTCCCAGAAGCCGTCGTCATTGGAATTGCAACAACAACAAAACGAATCGCGGCGTGTAAGTATGTTCGTTTAAATATACCTTCAATTATTCGAATATATAAAAAAACGTGACGACAGTATGTTCACTTGCGCGTTGTTAATAATTGTTATCTTACTTACTCTTGCTATGAAACATAAATAATTGTATTCAGACTTTTAACTTAACTCTTAACTAACTAGTAACCGAGTATGCAATACATGGAACATGTATTTAAATGCCACGTTTATCATACAGTATAATGAGCCTGTTTGCACATTTGGAATTGATTTTTCATTAGATTTTAATACCTATTAGGAATGAGAATTTTTGTTGCATTTCGTATTTGAATTCGCGAATGCTTTTATCAAGTTAATCCAAATGATTAGCCTGTGGATTTTATACACTTACACAGAAATTAGAATTGCAAAAAATAAATAAAATGCAATGTACAAAAACAACATACGTAGATCAACATTTGTTAAATAACAAAAGAAATCTGAATCTAAACTACATTTTTTAAAGTTGTGTATCAGCCATCAGATCTCTGGCAAAAGTTTAAGAAATGTGATAAAAATATATCCAAATATTGAAGCGATAAATTTGTAGGAAAAATGATATTCGTAGGGAAGCAAGGTTTATTAAACGTGCTTTTTAAGTCACAGGAAACTTTTAATACATAATTTCTAATATTTTAAAATATGCCTTTGACACTTTTTGGTA